TTTCGGAAATTCCTTCCTGCCCACCCCCCCATTCCGGGGGGTTCCTGACCCGAGGAACGCCTCCCCCCCCAAGCCCCAGGAGTCCCAACCTGTGAGATCTCTAAGAGGTCTCTGGGACGTGATCAGTTTCCCCTTCCACCCTGACGGTGTGGGGGCAGGCTGACTGGTCCTGCCGCCCCAGGCCTTACGGAAATCCCATGTCTGGACCAGGTCCTCACCTGCCAGATCTCCTTTGAGTCTGGCGGGAACAGCCGGGCGGGGCTGATCAGGGACAACCCGGCAGGAAACTGCTGAAAATTAGGTAGGGTGTGCCTTCTCCATTAGGATCCCTCCTTCCGTCACCCAATGGGCCAGTGCAGGTGGGATTCCCGGTCAAGGAACCAAATGTTATGGATCCTGGACTGGATCCTGACGGAAGAACCAAGCGGCCCTCCGAGACCGTGGAGAATCAGAGGTTTATTTGATAATGGGGGTGCTCAGAGGAGGGTGGTCTCCAAAGGTGTGAGTCCCCAGCACAGGCAGGGAGGGTAATTGATACCCTTCTACTTCCGCATACTTGGTACTTTTGGCGCATGCGGGAAACGGGTAGGAATGAAGAACCCGGAAGGGCCTTGAGACAGGGGCTAGAATTCCCTGGCTGGTTTGGTCTGCCTTCCTAGAGTGTAATTTTCCCCTTCTCAGTCGGAGCATTCACATGCATTCTTCTGGTGTTCATGTGTGTGCCTTTAAATACAGACCTAGGAGTAACACTGCTGGATTATAATATTTGCACGCATCCAATTTTAGGATATGATGACAAACGTTTTCCCAAAGTGGCTCTTACAGCCCTCCTCCAAAAGGGCATGATTTTTGATGGTTCTATGTAGTCACACTTAGTACTAGGGGTCTCCTAATGATTAATGAACTTGAGCACCTTTTGTATGTTAATTGGACCATATGGTATTGTGTAAAGCATCTGATTAAGTGCTTTGCTGATTTTTTTTTTAATTGGGGTGTTAGGGTTTTTTTGTTTGTTTGTTTAGGAGTTATGTTTTGGATATGAGCCCTTTTTCAGTTTTAATTGTCATAGATATTTCTGTGGCTTGCTTTTTTACTCTTTTAATGGAGTCAGTTGAGAAATAGAACTTCTTTATTATTATTTAGTCTGATTTGTTAATATTTTCCTTGATGCCCGATACTTTATCTTTTAAGAATCTTCCGCCTATCTTAAGATCATGAGGTTGGATGTCCTCTTGTGTTTCCCTCTGGAAGCTTTATTATTTCACCTTTCACATTTAGATCTACAAAAACCCCTGACAATTATTTCATGTATGATGTTAAGTAGAGATCAGGTTTCATTGTTATGCTTAAAGACAGCCAACTGCCCATATATGCATGAGTTTGTTCCTGGACTTCATATAATTTTATTGTTCCATTTGTCTGTCTTTGTACCAATTTCACACTGCTTTACTATCTTTTTGTAATAAGTCCTGCATTTAGTAAAATGAGTTCTCCCACTTTGTTCTTTTCAAGATGTCTTGGCCAGTCTCGTTCCTTGATATTTATGTATAAATTCATACACACACACACACACACACACACACACAAAATGTGTGGGGATTATTGCACTTAACATTTGTGATAAGAGCTTTTATTTCATTTTTTTCAGCCTTGTAATTTTTATTTCTTGAAATATTACATTGGGCAGGGTGAAAATTACAACGTTGAATATATTCAGGATGATGGGCTTCATTAAAAATAGTGGACATCCCCGTCTCAGTGATAATTCCTGTGGGAAAACCTTTCAGCATTTGGCCATTATCACATTATAGGATACTGGCTTTATGCTTTCTGAAGATGCTATTTACCAGATTAAGGAAGTTTCTTCCCATTTTTCTGTGCTTTTGTTTTGTTTTGTTTTGTGTGTGTTGCTGTTTTGTTTTGGTTTGTTTTTTTTGATGAATAGATGTTGAACTTTATCTAAAGCGTTTGAAGACATGGCTTTTTCCTTTATTCTTTTAAAGCGGTGAATAACATTGATTTTCAAACAGTAAATCAACCTCAAGTTCCTGAAATAAACCTAACTTGTTTGTCCTACACTGTCTTCTTTACTACGTATTGCTGAATTCAGTTTGCTCGTGTTGAGAAATTTCACGCCTATGTTCACAAGTGACTTAGCCAATAACTGTTGGGATTTTGCCTCTTAGTATTCTTGCCAGATTTTAGTACCGAGATTATGCAGGCCTTCAAAAACAAGTGTGGGAGCATTCCTTTTGCCTCTACAAAAGTTTGTGCCATACTTGGGTTAATTCTTCCTTAAATATTGGAAGAATTCACTGGTTGAGCCATATGGGCCCAGAGATTTGTTTTTTTGTGGGATGGAGGAGTGCATTTTGAAATTTAAGATTTTATATAGTCTTTTATATAGAAATACATTTATTTATATATTATTTATTTTTTGTTATTATTTATAACATTTATTATATGTAATTAAAATGTTATTATGTATTTACGTATTATTTATTTATATAAATACATATATATATTTAAATATCTACTTCTTTTTGTGCCCATTTTGACAAGTTGTATTCTTCTAGGAACTTATATATATTCATACCTTCAAGTTTATTGATATAAAGTGGCTCATAATATTCTCTTATTTGTTGAATGTTTAGTTACTTGATCTATAGTCACAGTGAAAGTGTGGTGAAGAAAGTACCTTTAGGATCAGTCCCCTCTCTTAGCATTTCAACACTGCCTTGTGCCACAGGGCCCAGATGCCATGCCCCAGGTTAGACTCCAGCCCACAGTGGTCTGTCTGTCCACACTGTACACAGCCAAGAGGCTCACCCCCAGCCAGGCCGGAACTGCAGCCCCAATGTCCTGTCTTGACCAGGGCCTTCCTAGAGGCCTGGCAAATCTTTTCTTCCACTTCCCGGTGAGACCAGTCATGAGGTCTAAGAAGCCAGGCAATGTGTCTGTTGAGTCCACTCCGCCAACATCCATGTTAGATTCTGTCTTTGTTTTATTGGAAGTCATTTCATTACCATCACAGTAACATGGGTGGCACAGTGGACTGCATTTTCATAAAGTCATCTGGCATAGTATGAGCCCGTTTCTGGAAGGAAGAGAGGTTTACCTTTGAAATTGACCACAGAAGCCTTTAAGGATGTTACAAAAATGTGCATCTACCTCTCCAGAGGTATTTCATGCTTCTGACTGTATCACAGACCCTTGAAGTTGGCATATTAATGTTACCCTCCACATTTAAATAAGAAGAAGAGAACTGGAGGATAGAGCATCTGATACACTCTTTTTTTTTTAACCTTAAGTGAGAAGATATTTGGTACAGAGACAAGATGAAAATAAATCAAGGGAAAAATAGCCTGTTAACTGGAAACATAAAAAATAATGTCTCGATGGGCTTTTCTTCCACCAAAAATAATTATGATAATATAATATTAATAATAACAGCTATTTCCTAAAGTGAGTAGAGGCATTTTCAATTTATAATATAACATTGTGCATATAATACATATGTTATTGTGCTCATAAAAGCAAATAACATGCAGAGAAAACTCGATATATGTTTTTCTGTTGTTCTAGTGATTCCTCAAAAAGAGATTTTGGATGAGGAAAGAATTCTGAAGAGTTTTGGGTTTTTGTTTTTGTTTACCCATGAAGGTTTTAAAAATATCCTTTTCTTAAAAAAAAAAAAAAAAAAAAAACAAAAAAAGAAAAAAAATAACTGCAGACACCTTTGCTGCGCAGCACCCTTCCTGCTCTAGAAACTGTAGGCCACATCCAGTGGGGCCCACATGGATGTCTTTACTAGTTCCCATAGCCCTGGGTCCCCTTGGGCTTTATAATATGGGTCCCTGAGCAAGACAGGATAAAGGTGCAAAATGTGGCCCAAGAATCTTCGAGTTTGGGGAGGGGGATGTTTGCATATTCTGCTCCGGCTTTTCCCTGACAAGGCTCTGCTCTCCTCAGTCAGCAGGACCCTGAAGTCTCTGAGGTCAGATGTGCCCCATGTGGGGGTCGCCAGCTAGCGGGCCACTGACCCGCCAGCCCCCTACTGACCCACCAGGCTCATAGCTGAATCTGTCTTCCCAGAGGGTTGGAAACCCTGGGAGCTATCATTGACCAACATCTGTCCTTGGACATTTCTCAGAGGTATTTTCTAGTCTTCTGCTTTGTTCTGTTTTACTCTCATGAAGTCTGATTGGGTTGGACAGCAGAGGTGGAAAAGGGCCACATCCTCTTTCTGTTTCCAAGATTTCCCTTTGGTCAGGAGCTCGCATGCACATCTTGCCCCAAAGGTTCTGCCTTTCTGGGAAATAATGACTCGGTGAGCATCCTGCCCTAGGTCTGACTCCCCTACACTGGCCCCCAGATGGATTGCACTGCTGACTGGGCAGTTCTGTTGGCCTGAGTGAGGGGCTCAGGGCAGTGGTAGCCAAGTTCGCCTCTTAGAAAGGAAGCAAGGGAGAGCCCAGCAAAAGACAGGAAGGAAAGGGGCCCAGGCTCGCTCTCCTTGGCCAGGGGCAGGGCGAGGGTGGGGAAGAGACTTGGGGCAGAGAACTGGGGGGAATTTGAGACTCACCCTTGGGGAGCTAACGAACATACAGTTACCAGATAAAATGGAAACAGCCTTCTGAATATTTCCATTTCTAGGTATCTCCAGACCCACTTAAAAAGAATTTTTTAAGATTGTGCTTTTTGTTCAGGCCCATTCAGTGCCAAGTTTAACCAGGTTTCTCTCTCTACCAAACAGAGCTGGAATCATAGTGAAACGAGGGTCAGGTCCCTGTCACCTCAGAGTGGACAGTACACTTTCACTTCCATTATCTCATTCAATCCTTACTCCAACCCTGGGAGGCAGGCAAGGCAAATATCATGCATTCCTGTTGGAGAGGATGAAGCACCAAGGCTTGGAGGGTTTAAAGAACTGCCCGTGGCAGAAAGTGGCCAGTGAGCCTTGGAAGCCTGGTCCACTCGTTTCTGCCACTTCCGCATTGTCTCCTCAAACTCATTGTTTTGGGGAAGAAATGAGCTGCTTTCTGTGGCTGAACACACATGAAAAAGTGGGTTACCTTAGCACTTCTCAGGCCATCCTGAGGGTGAACAAGGTGAATGGCCTGCAACCAAGTAAGCTCCTGGAAAAATCACATGTCTCACATATATGAATGAACACAACTGAACTAAAATGGTTCTCCGGAGAAATCTTTGAAATCTTTGACCAGTCTGAGTCCTAACTGAAGTAAAATCCATAGGGATGCTATATTTAACATTTTAACACAAGTGAACAACATTTTGTTTAAATACATCTTGGGAGGGGGGAACATGGTGGTTAAAAAGAGGGGAGGGCAGAATTGGGGGTCCCTGTAGCTCCTGTAGGCCACAGGGATAGAGAGGGAAGCAACTCTGGCTTCCAGCAGCCCTCAGAGCACACTGTGCCCCAGGAGCTGTGTGGGCTTCAAGCTAATGGCCATGTTGACCGTTGGGAATAAGGTCCCTGTTGGCCCCAAGGCCATTCTTCAAATAGTCTCTCTCTTTGCCTTTGGTGATTTCTTCCTTCTCCTCCTCCTCTTCCTCTTCTTCTTCATACTCATCCTCATCCTCATCTTCACTCCTCACATCCTGGATGTTCTAGAGAAAGAAAAGAATGGGCTGTGAGTGCTAACCCTCCAGAAAGTGGCTTGAGTGAATAAGAAAACTCAAATCCCAAACTCAGAAAGAAAACACAATATTCAAAAACCAAAAGTTCATCAAGGTAGAACATATCATGGGTCACAAAATAAATCTTAACAAAAAAGAATTGATATCATGCAAAGTATGTTTTAGATCATAATGGAATTAATGTCAAAATGAATATAAAAAAAGGAAAATCTCAAAACAGTTGGAAATTAAACAATACACCTTTGACAATGGATCAAAGAGTAAGTCACAAGGGCTTTTAGAAAATATTTCGTACTAAAATGAAAATATGGTGTATTAAAATTTGTCAAATGTACCTAAAGTAGTGCTTTTAAGGAAATTTATAGCACTAAATGTTTATGTTAGAAAAGAAGAAAATTCTTAAATAATTTGAGCTTCCATCTTAAGAAACCAGGAAAAAAAAAGCAAAATAAACCCAAAGCAAGCAAAAGGAAGGAGAAAAATAAATAAAGAAATCAGTGAAATTTAAACAGAAAAAAACAATAAAGAAAAGCAATAAAACCAAAAGCTGGTTCTTTGAAAAGATATATAAAATTGATTAATCACTAGCAAAATTGACAAAGAAAAAGAAAGAGAAGGCACAACTTGCCAGAAAATAAAAAGGAAATTTGACTATGGACACTATAGATATTATAAAAATAACAGAGTACAATGAACAGTTTTATGCATATATATTTGACAATTTAGATGAAATGGACCAAATCCTCAAAAACCAGACTACAAAATTCACCCAAGATGGCACAGATAACCTAAATAGTCATATAACTGTGAAAGAAATTAAATCAGCTAAAAATCTGGGAAAGAAAATCATCAGGCCCAGCAGTTTTCACTGGAAAATTCTATGAAACATATAAAGAAGAAATAACATCAAATTTCCACCAATCTCTTCCATTTGATAGAAGAAGGAATACTTCCCAGTTTATTTTATGAGGCCAGAATTACCTTGATATCAAGGTCAGAAAAAGACAATATAGGAAAGAACAACTACAGACCAATATCTCTAATAAGAGTATATACATTTTTTAAAAACCTTAATGAAAATATACAGTGGAAAAAAGACAGTCTCTTCAGTAAATGGTGCTGGGAAAATTGGACAGCTATATGTAGAAGAATGAAACTCGACCATTCTCCTACACCGTACACAAAGATAAACTCGAAATGGATGAAAGACCTCAACGTGAGACAGGAATCCACCAGAATCCTAGAGGAGAACATAGGCAGTAATCTCTTTGATATCAGCCACAGCAACTTCTTTCAAGATATGTCTCCAAAGGCAATGGAAACAAAAGCAAAAATGAACTTTTGGGACTTCATCAAGATCAAAAGCTTCTGCACAGCAAAGGAAACAGTCAGCAAAACAAAGAGGCAACCCACAGAATGGGAGAAGATATTTGCAAATGACAGTACAGACAAAAGGTTGATATCCAGGATCTATAAAGAACTTCTCAAACTCAACACACACAAAACAGATAATCATGCCAAAAAACGGGCAGAAGACATGAACAGACACTTCTCCAATGAAGACATACAAATGGCTATCAGACACATGAAAAAATGTTCATCATCACTAGCCATCAGCGAGATTCAAATTAAAACCACATTGAGATACCACCTTACACCAGTTAGAATGGCCAAAATTAGCAAGACAGGAAACAACATGTGTTGGAGGGGATGTGGAGAAAGGGGAACCCTCTTCCACTGTTGGTGGGAATGCAAGTTGGTGCAGCCACATTGGAAAACAGTGTGGAGATTCCTCAAGAAATTAAAAATTGAGCTTCCCTATGACCCTGCAATTGCCCTACTGGGTATTTACCCCAAAGATACAGATGTAATGAAAAGAAGGGCCATCTGTACCCCAATGTTTATAGCAGCAATGGCCACGGTTGCCAAACTATGGAAAGAACCAAGATGCCCTTCAGCAGACAAATGGATAAGGAAGATGTGGTCCATATACACTATGGAGTATTATGCCTCCATCAGAAAGGATGAATACCCAACTTTTGTAGCAACATGGACGGGACTGGAAGAGATTATGCTGAGTGAAATAAGTCAAGCAGAGAGAGTCAATTATCATATGGCTTCACTTAGTTGTGGAGCATAAAAAATAACTTGGAGGACATAAGGAAATGGAGAGGAGATGGGAATTGAGGGAATTTGGAAGGGGAGATGAACCATGAGAGACTATGGGCTCTGAAAAACAATCTGAGGGTTTTGAAGGGGCGGGGGTGGTGGGAGGTTGGGGGAGCCAGGTGGTGGGTATTATGGAGGGCATGTATTGCATGGAGCACTGGGTGTGGTGCATAAACAATGAATTCTGTTATGTTGAAAAGAAAAAAAAAAACAGCCCAAATCAAACCCAGTAATGTATAAAAATAATAATACATCACAATGAAGTGGGATTAGTCCCAGAAATGCAAGGCTGGTTGAAGATTTAGAAATCAATGAATGTAATCAATCCTACCAATAATCTAAAGAAGGAAAAAAATACATAATTATATCAGTTGATGCCAAAAAAATCATATGACAAAATTTTACATCCACTCATGTTTTTTAAAAAAATGCACCAAAGAAAGAGAAGGTAACATCATACTTACTGATGAATGACTGAATTTTTTCCCCCTAAAATTAGGGAAAAGGCAAGAATATCCACTTTCACCATTCCTATACAACATTGTATTGGAAGTCCTAGTGAACGTAATAAGGTAAGAAAAAGAAATAGAAGCCATACAGATTGGAAAGAAAGAAATGGCTGAAAAAGTGTCCTCAAAGATAGTAGGCTCTAATCCCTAAAATTTATGAATGTTACATGATATGGTAAAGTTTTTACAGGTGTGATTAAGTTAAGGATATTGAGAAGATTATCCTGCATAATCCAGGTATACCCTAAGGTTACCCCCAAGTGTCTTTTATAAAATATGCAATGGGAGATTCAACACAGAGAAGAGGCAATGTGAAGATGGAGGTAGAGACTGGAGTAATGTGATTATGAGTAAGGAATGCCGGCAGGCACCAGAAGTTGAAAGAGGTAAAGAATAGAATCCACCTACAGCCTTTGGAGAGACCACAACCCTACGACATCTTGAGTTCAGCTCAAATCTGATTATAGACTTCTGGCCTCCAGAACTATGAGAGAATAAATTTGTTCTTTTAAGCCACCAAGTTTGTGGTATTTTGTTATAGCAGCCACAGGAAACTCACATGATAAGCAATGTCTGACTAAAAGCAAAATTTAAATTTAATTTAACTGTAATATTTACAATAGTTTCCAAAATAAAATACTTGGGTATAAATCTAAAAAGGACATATAGGATCTGCATGTAAAACCTACAAAACTCTGATGAAATATTTAAATAATTGGGGACACATGCTATGTTCATGGATTGGAAGGTTAAACATAATAAAAATGTTAATTATCCCCACTGATTCCACACAATATCAGTGAAAATCTCAGCAAGACTTGTTGTACACAGAGATAAGCTGATTCTAAAATTTATATGAAAAAACAAACTAGAATAACTAAATCAATTCTGAAAAAGAAAAATAAAATTGGAGGACTCCAACTCCCCAAATTTAAAACTTTCTGTAGAGTTACCGTAATCAAAACTGGGTGGTATTAACAAAGGGACAGGCACATAGATTAATAGAACAGAATAGGGAATGTAGAAATAGACCCACTTACAAATATGGCCAATTAAGTTTTGACAAAGGTGCAAAAGCAATTTAGTGGAGGAAAAAAAAATAGTGTTTCCAAGAAATGCTGTTAGAACAGTTAGAAATCCATAGGCAAAAGAGTAAACTTTGACCTAAACGTCATACCTTGTACAAAACCGACTCAAATGGATCATAGATCTAAATGTAAAATATAAGACTAAAACTTTTCAAAGAAAACCCATAACCTTGGGTTGGGTGAGAAGTTCCTAGATGTGGCACAAAAAATAAACTCCATTAAGAGAAAAAACTAATCAACTGGATTTCACCAAAAGGTAACTTTTGTACTATAAAAGACACCATTCAGAGAATAAAAAGACAAGCTGCAAACTCGGGGATAATATTCACTAACCCTATAGATGACAGGTATACATCATAAAGAACTGTCAAAACTCAACAATAAGAAAAAAAAACAATTGAAATATGGGCAAATATATAAAAATAAGCATTTTCTCAAAGAGGATATAGGATGTCAAAGAAGGACATATATGAAAAGATGTTCAACATCACCAGCCATTAGGAAAATGCAAATTAAAGCCACAATGAGATACAACTAAGGGCTGCCTGGGTGGCTTAGTGGGTTAAAACCTCCGCCCTCGGCTCAGGTCAGGATCTCAGGGTCCTGGGATCTAGTCCCGCATCTGGCTCTGTGCTCAGCAGGGAGCCTGCTTCCCTCTCTCCCTCTGCCTGCCTGTCTGCCTACTTGTGATCTCTTTCTATCTCTGTCAAATAAATAAATAAAATCTTAAAAAAAAAAAAAACCTCATAGAACTTTACACCAATGGAAAAAAGTCTATTTTGCTGATGATGTTTAAAAATCAAACTTAAAAGTATTCCTGCAAATGGTATGGTTTTCCCGACAAACGTTTGCTAAGTCAAGTCTTCCTCATGTAGGACTTTTGGTTGTCAAGCTACTTTTACTGTTGGTGATTGGGATGTTTTCTATTTTCTTTATGCAGGGACTCCTTCAAGGGCCTATTAAACCCAGACTGGAAAAGAAAAAGACCACGGAAGATGGAGACCGGTTTCTGACACCCCATTTTTCAAGTTGCCAGCCAGAGCCTTATGAATTACTTTTTCCTTTTGTGCCCTACAGACTACACCTGACAACTTCCAGGTACATGTACCCAAATACCTCCTCTGTGTACAATCTTCAGGCAAACACGGCTTTTGTAAAAACCCGGTGTACATGTGTGCTGCTGCCTTAATTACAGAAATGTAAT